TTAATTTCATGGAATTCCACTCGAAAAACAAAGCACGAAAAAAAAAAGTGACGACTCAAGCAAAAACTTTGTTTACTGAAACAATTTGCGCCGCCTTCTTTAACACGTTTCATCGATATTCAGTTGTTAATCGCACGAAACAAAAGCAATAATAGATATGGGAAAAAAAAAAGTAATAGGTGGCGAACGGATGGAAAAGTTCGACGAGCGCGCGTAAATTAGAATTTCGAAATAGCAGCGAGGTGTGGAGAAAAAAAAAACAAAGGAATACGCAGATAACTAGTTTCGTTGTTGGTTAGCCTAGTTGATAAAGTTATCTGGCGCATTGCATATGTTTCGGGATTGTTTTATTTACGGGTTCGTTGCCATGCGATGAATGATGCGTTCATTCATCGCATGGCAAGAGTGGATCGCGCGACGAAAGCGGATTAACGTTTTTAATTTGGGTTTACCTTTTTAAAAGAGTCTCGATTATCGCTTCATTCGAGTTGGAATCGTTTCTGTATCGCATACACACACACACCTAAGTGAAGGAGGGTTGAGCACCGCCGGTTCTGATGGTGTACGGTGGCGTCACGTCGCGTGGCGTCGCGACGCTCTCGCCCCTAATCAATAAACCGCACTCAGACGACGACGACGACTTTTTCCTTTACCCTCCTTCTCGAACCCTTTCGCGATGCTGCGTCACGTTCAACGTCGAGAATCATTTCTTGCGATTCAGAGACTTTCGTGGCGTGACCCGGTATTTTTGAATTCGAATTTGGCGCTGCGCGCCGCCTACCGGTAACCTCGCCGCACTAACCTGCTACGATTAATTCGAATCTTCGTTCCCGCCAGAAAACGCACAAATACGCTCGTAAAACACCTGAAACAAAAACAACTCGATTAATTACCTAAGATAATTACAACTGTAACGTATGCAACCGACGTTGCGCATATCATTATGACGATGGAGACAGCTAGATGGAGTTCGCATCGATGTAATAACGTAATAAAATAGATGGAAGAAATTCTCAATTTCGATTGGATATGTTGGAAAATGATAGCAAACAATTTAATAATCACTTTCAATGAACAATTCAAACGATCGAAAAAATAAAACCTCTTAGTTGCGTAACTATTGTAGGCAACCTGTGATGCTTTTCGCCCTAAACACTTCTTTGGTAACATATTTTTTTTGTTGGATGGCAACGCGAGAGGACAGCGTAGGGGCAGTTGCTGCAGCGAGCAGCTGTGCTGCTCCGTCCCCCCGGTTGGTTGTCGTCGTCTCGCTCCCTCGCGCGTAAACACTCTCGCTTCGATACTCTCGCCCCCCTTCAATTCGCGATAAACCGGCGAACGCGAAAAGCCAACGTCAACGGTGTTTCGACGGAAATTAAGTGGTGTTTCCAACCCCCCTGAAAAAAGGATACTCAAGAATAGATTAAAGTGAAGATGATCTGAACACGAAGCGATGACGATTTCCCGTATGAAAATGAGCTGGTAAGCGAAGAATCGAAAAGAACGAAAACCGGAAGTCGATGTTTTCTGTTATTATTCATATGTCAATTCGCGGTAGCCACTTCGATCTATTTATTTACATTTCGGTATCTGATCTTTCGTTCTTTTTCAGTTTGTTTATGTTTACAGCCGCAATCGCCACTTTATTGATTGTCAAGTGCGAACCGATTGTGTGTGTGTATTCACACGCACTGACTCACTCACACACACTCTAATAAGAATAACAAATAATTTATTTTCTCTTTTTCTCCACAAGTGGTGGGCGGAATGTCTAATCTAATTGTAAATACTAATTGTTTGCAACATATTGATCATTGATGTTAATTTTTTGACTATATAAATATCATATTTTAAATTAATTCAATTGCATTGTTAGTAATACGAAAGTTTTTACGCAACTTCCAAACCGAAAACCAATTGAAATTGAAAAGTGTATGGAAATTAGTAAATGGTTTTATCAGAAGCGTCCTAGTTTGTATAGTGGTCGTGCGCGATCATCCCATGTGGGTTACCAATTAACGAATTCAGTTTTTAGACCGTTGAAAGTTCTGTTCGTTCGTTTCTATTCGATCCATCGGATGTTGTCGTTGTGTTTAGAGTTGATAAGTTCAACTTACTTCCCCTTTGATTCTGTGTTGCATCCAGCGCTTATCGCAAGGACCGGACGAACTTTGGCGATTATTTTTTTTTGTCTCTTTTCTCTCTCTTTCTGTAATAGTGAGTAAAGAACGTAACGAATCGTCGATTTCGGGTCAGCATCATCGATTATTGTACACGAACCCGTATAATTAATAAGCGTGCAGCAGCAGCAGTAAAATTGTAAATGTATTAGAAACGATTGTTGCGCGTGGAGAATCTACGATAACACACTTGAAATGTGCGCTAAATCATTGTTATTGCGTTTGCTGCGACTTTATTTTTATAGTTTTTTGTTTTGTTTTCCAATTGTTGTTTGCAATTTGAAATGGTTGGAATCGTCGCGTCGCGTCCCGTCCCGCGATTGAAAACTCGCATTCCTCCAGCATTGTTCTCATTGTTGATCCTGTTTGAAAGCGATTGTCGCCGTTTTTAAAGCGATAAACGCGAATCAGTGTACGTGTTGGACGCGACGAGAGCGAAAAGTCTATCGAATTAGTTTTTGTTTGATTACTTTTGTTGTTGTTGTTGTTGTTACTTACGTGTTTTGTTCACATTTGATGATGTATTATTGGTGGTATACGATGATTCGTCCTTGGTATTTGATGTAAGGAGACGTTTTTCTCGCAATTTCCGCTCAGATGATTCATCCTGAAAAATACATGTTTATTAATTAGATTTGAACTTGCGCACTATCGTAAGTCGTGAAACATAAAGAAAAAGTGTTAATAACAATAACAATGAAAATTTAGAAAAGAATCGAATAAATAATATGTAATAAATTATTCAAAATAACGTGACGTGACTGTAAAACATTGCAGTATTAAAATAGTAATCGCGCATACCATATTATTAGAATGCGATAAGTATGCAAATTTCAAACAAAATTATCGCTTTATGAGTATTTTTCACTAGAATTCGATAGAAAATTGAAGATGTAGAGCGACATTTCCTTCGCTCTTTCAACGAAATAAAAGGGTTATACCGCCCACGCTTCGGTTTTTTTGTTGTTGTTATTGTTGTTGATTAAATTGTGATTTGTGTTGTTTCAGGCCAAATATGAAGAGGCAAATAGTGTTGGCGCTGGCGGCGGGAATCCTCATCGGATTTAGTGGAACGTACATGATGCTGGAGCCGCCGATGTGGTTGAACCTGGCCGATCCGCACACCAGCCACGAGATGCAGCACATGGCCGGGCCCGAAGTTGATCCGGGGGCGCACGGCCACGACGAAGAGTTCCACCGTTACGAGAACGATTCGGTGGCGCGCGATCTGAGAGATAGGGTGAGGGTGCTGTGCTGGGTGATGACCGGTCCGGCCAATCACCAGAAGAAGGCGAAACACGTGAAGAATACGTGGGGAAAACGGTGCAACGTGCTGCTCTTCATGAGCTCCAAAGAAGGTGTGTTTTTGTGAGGAGGGAAACACGATGCGTAATGATTATAATATTTTCAACTGTTGTTTCGCAGATGACAGTTTACCTGCGGTCGCTTTGCCCGTTTCCGAGGGTCGCGACAACCTCTGGGGCAAAACGAAGGAGGCCTTCAAGTACATTCATAAGCATTACCTGGATAAAGCCGATTGGTTCCTGAAGGCCGACGACGATACGTGAGTGTTGTTGATTGTCTTCTGTAATAATCTATAGATCTAGAGCAGTGGTTGTAATTATTTGTTTATTTTAGATATGTGATATTGGAGAATCTGAGGTACATGCTGCAGGCGCACGACCCGCTCGACCCCATCTACTTCGGCTGCAGGTTCAAGCCGTACGTGAAACAGGGCTACATGAGCGGAGGCGCCGGGTACGTGCTCAGCAGGGAAGCGCTGAAGCGATTCATCGAGGTACGTACGGTGGCGGCGGCGGTGACCCAATAAACTATTGCTAAGATGGCCGTTCTCATCAATTTGCGATTGGTTTGTTCGGCAGGTGGGCGTTTCCAATGGAACGCTTTGCAGACAGACGAACAGCGGCAGCGAGGACGTCGAGATGGGCAAGTGCATGGAGAAGGTTAAAGTCGAAGCGGGTGATTCGCGCGATTCCCTCGGCCGCGGAAGGTTCTTTCCCTTCGTGCCCGAGCATCACCTCATCCCCGGACACTCGCCCAAATCTTTCTGGTACTGGAAGTACGTCTACTACGATAGCAAAGAGGTAAAAAATTACATTTCTTACATTACATTTCTTAATTACAATTCTTTGGGGAAGGGCATGGACTGTTGCTCGGACAACGCGGTCTCCTTCCACTACGTCAGCCCCAATCAGATGTACGTCCTCGAATACTTGATCTATCACTTGCGACCGTACGGCATCACTTACGCCGTTCCCAAGGAGACGCATCAAGAGCGACGCCCCCATAAAGCAATCACGTAACGGCGCAAAGTGTTACCAAATGCCAAAACGAAAACCAACATTCCCATACCCACAACCCCACCCCCTCCCTCGATGTTAACAGCAATAAACTAACCCGATTCAATTCATGTCTCGTAGAAGGGTTGTAAATATACGCTGCGCATACGTACGGTACAAAACAAAAAAACAAAGTTATGTTTTCTCTCGTTTGTAATAATAATAATACTTGATGAATGATGTGCTCATAATTTATGTTAACTAATATAGTAATATATATATATATACGATAATAATGATAATTGAATAAAATGCTCTAGTCACAATGTGTACATGTATGATGTAACAGAAAAGAAAAAGTAAGAAGAAAAATATGAAATATATTGAGAGAGAGAGAAAAGGCGAGAAAATAAAGGATGTCATCTTTATCGTGTTCGTCTTTCGTTTATTTGTTGATTGTCCCTTAATAGCTAATATAAATACAATTTGTGCAGTGTGTATAAAAAATATGAATAGTAGTAGTATTCATTTGTTGTTCTCTTTCTCTTTTTTAGAGGAGGAGTGGCATGGTTAGGGAGAGATGGGGGGTTGTTATTGGTTTTATTCCTTTTCTTTTCTTATTTTTTTTTGGCTAAATACTCCTAAATAAGAAGAAAGCTTAATCGTTAGGTATGTATATGTATATATAGTAAGTATAGTTTTTGCTAAATACGTGTGGCTGGCAGTAGAGCATTAATTTGGCTTTACTTCATTTCTGCTGATGTCGTCGTCGTCGTCTCTTTTCTTCATATTTAGGTGATCGCCTTTTCGTATGACGGCGGCGGCGAGTCCTGGATTATTTGGAGGCGCTCGTTGTGCGTGGGCAGCATTACGGCAACGCTGTACGGGGGCGGCGGTATCTCCTCGACGCCGATCGCCTCCACGTCGCTCGCAATTCGAGGAGCATCGGCGAACGGTGGCGGCGGAGGCGGTGCTTCGTCGCTATCCACGGACCACGTCTGGCTGTGATTGGCGTCGACGTTGCGCGCCGCCTCGCGCGTCTGCTCCTTGCACACCTTCAGCAGCACCTTCATCAGGAGCACCACGACCACGATTATGATGATCAGAGGCACGGTGGCACCGAAATGTTCCATCGAATTGCTCTACAAAACGAACGCCACAACAAAAATAACAACATACAAACATCTTCACACTCACCAAATTGCTGATGTTGTACTTAATCACGTAGTAGCTACCGATCACCAGACAGAGGAGCAGCAGCTTCACCAGATTCACGCACAGCATATCCGTGGACGTGGGGCTCGAGGGTGGAGTGGCCGTTGGAATTCCTCGCCTCCTCCTCCGTTGTGTTTCCATTCGGATGCTCGGTCTGGAAAAACCATTAAACTAAACATATGTTCATATAAAAGCAATAATGTAAAATTACTGCGCTTGTGTGTCGTGCTCTTCGACGATGGGCGGAAATCGGGCGGATCGGTGGGCGTGCTGCTGCTGCTGCTGATTGTGATGATGTTGATGATGGGTCGGGGATGCTGATCCGTGACCTTCCATTGGCAGAAACCTGTGGACGGGTGTCACCATCTCGGGCTTGCCAATGCGCAACTCCTTCCGACGAGTACCTTTTATATTTTAAATTCAAATCAAAAGCAATCATTAATAAATAATATCAACGAATATATTTGATGATGACCTCCTTTCATCTTATGCAGAACGCGCTTAATTTTCTTGAATTTCCCGAACAACTTTCTCAACAGTTTTCTCATACTACAGTCAACGGTAACTGTCAAAGTATAAGTTGAAAATGTAAGCAACATTTTAAATTTGACGTTTAGTATGTGGCGTCATCTGTGCGATGACCTCGAACGAAATGATTTGGGGAAAAAGGTTGGTGGTACTGCATGAAAAAAAAGTTAAAAAATAAAGAAAGAAAGAGTCGTTTGAATTGCGAATGTTGTACGTGGGAGTGTTGGTAATGTTGTTGTTGTTGTGTGTGTATGTTGTTATAGGTTATGAAGAAATAATACCGGTTGAGAGGGACGGCGGCACGTATCTGCCGTTCGCACCGCGACGTCCTTGGCTGTTGTTGACACCCTTGTTTATCCAGAAATGCATTTATTCACGTGGTCCGATGCCGCCTCTCATCCCCATCCACAAACTGCGCCCCATCCGTCGTTTCCGTTAACCCACCTGAACGCCGGAAGCGTAAATTGCACAACACCTCTCTCTCTCTGTCTCTCTTCAACTCTAACCGCTTGTATGTTTCTGTCGCATCCGCACGTCCCGTCCACCGCCTTCCTTCTTTCCTTCTACCCAACTACATGTGCATGCACAACGCATTCGCACATGACCGTGTCACTGGATTGCGAGGGGTGGTGGGGGATTACGGTGGTTGTAGGCGACGGCGAAGGCACCAGCGGTACCCTTACGTATTTTAGGCAGCGTCGCGACGCGCTCTATCTGCTATCACTTGCATACCACCCCCGACGCCACACATCAACCGACAGCGAGAAAGTCGATAAAACTGCACAGACTCAGGGACGTCGACGGCGGCTGCTGTTGCTGCAACTGTCATCATCTGTCAACACAAAAACAAAAGCTAAATAAACGAGCGCATTGCTAATTGCTGAACAACGATAACAAGCAAACAAACAAATGATGAAACAAGTGCAATTTCGACCCGAACGGAAAGTTGGTGAGTTTGTTTCTTCATTCAAGTATAACAAAAATCGCAACAATTGTTACTTTCCTTTTACTGTGTGCATTATTATGGATTATTGATAAATATATGGACATTAAAATATATATGTAAGTAGGTTAGTTTAGTCTCGGAAACAATTATGGCGCGTACGGTCGCCATATTGTTTACCGCCATTGTTGGAAATGGGATTTAGTGGGAATGACATTAGCACACTTTCCATCGGGTTAAAGAAAATTGTAATGTATTGTATTATTTATTTTTTTTGTCATTTCTGAATGCATTCACTAATCTACAAAAAAAAAACTATCTACTGTCGCTACAAATCTACAAATTTTCGTACGCACGGTAGAGTTAATCAGTTAATTCGTAGCAGCATTCGGATCTTCCATCCGCATCCGGAACATTTTCATCATATCACTGTCCTTCATCATCTTCATACGTTCTGATAGCATCTTATTCGCATTTCTCATAAGCTCCTGGGCTTTCATCACCTCTGGCGACATCGCCATGGCTGCAGCGAACACCACAACAATCATTAGACACAATATGGTGAATCTCATCTGCAACACAAAAAGGACATTAATTTTTGTATTTACGAAACGAAGCAATTTTATGACTCACCTTGTTTGTCTTTTTACACAATTCGTTCGAGTTGAAGTAAACTGATAACCGATATGTTATTACGACCGTTATTTATACCGACAGCAATTACGGCTGATAGCCAATTATTTTCGTTATAACATGTTTCTTTTTTTGTGCTGCTTAATTAGCGAAATGCTGCATCGTTAGGCGATTGCCGATTTGACTTATCGGCTTGCAGGCGTATAAAAGCCGCTCATCGGGGTGGCGAAAACAACAGTCAACATCGATCGTCAAGAAGGTAAAGCTGCAATAAGAAGAAACGCCATGTAAGTTATTGTTGATATCGAATACTATTAGTGTGAACAATCAAGCTGAGTTGATGGCTTTTAGGAAATTTCTGTTATTTGTCGCCATCGCGGCTGTCTTTGTCGCGGCCACCATCGCCAAAGATACCAATACGTTGGACGATTTAAAGAAGGGCTTGATGGATAGCGACTTCGTCCAAACGCTGAAGGGGTTGGTGAATGATGAGGAGGTGGAGAAGTACAGCGCTAAGGTCATGGATTTTTTGGAGACTTTCAAGAATAAATAAGTAAAATTGTTCAAATAGTGATTGGAACATGAGTAATTAATTAAATATCTTGATCATTACACTATATGTTTAAATGAATAAACCCACACATATTATAAGAGCAAAGTACGCTTAGCATTTAAGAATATTGTTGTTAAAATTGGCGCGCCATCTGCGATTAATCAATTGAACATACCCCATCCACTGGTATTGGATATAATGGGATTAAATTACTGGCGGGCGGAGGACACGGCGTATCGAATGTCCATTGCAGATATCGATGAAAAGTACTGAAAACATTGGCATTACCACCAGTAAGTAGTTCGATTGTGAGCGAGAAGAGATGTGTCCCAAAGGAGATGGAGAGAGGAGAAGACGGAGGCTAGATGAGGAGGAGGAAGAGGAAGAACACCGTCGGAACAGGAAGCATCGTCAGAGGGACGTCGTAACCGTCGCCGCCGCCGGAAGAAGACGTCGCCGACGGCAGAGATGGTACAATTTCACGTTAAATAAGGTGAGTCAGAAAGTGAAAAAGTCCTTGGGTCACGCGAATCCGGATCGATTTGCGCAAAAGTGTGCTGTGGAGGTAAGAAACAAAAAGCGACGCGCAAAAACTTCGGACGTCCGACCGTTTGTGTGCATTTTTGACGTGACGTTCTGTTGAAAATTCTGTGTTTGTTGAGAGAGGAAGAGAGATCGAGGGAGAGAAGATGACGAAGATGGCGATCGGCATTGATCTTGGCACCACTTACTCGTGCGTCGGTGTATGGCAGAGCGGTAAAGTGGAAATCATCGCCAACGAGCAGGGCAACAGGACGACGCCCAGCTACGTGGCGTTCACGGACAGCGAACGGCTGGTCGGTGATGCCGCCAAGAACCAGGTCGCAATGAACCCGACGAACACGGTGTTCGACGCGAAACGCCTGATCGGCCGTAGATTCGACGATGGTAAGATACAGGCGGATATGAAGCTGTGGCCGTTTAAGGTGGTCGACGACAAGGGAAAGCCGAAAATTCAGGTGGAGTTTCGGGGTGAGAAGAAGACGTTCGCTCCTGAAGAGATCTCGTCTATGGTGCTGACGAAGATGAGGGAGACGGCGGAGGCTTACCTGGGGGAGGCTGTGAGGGATGCGGTGATCACGGTGCCCGCTTACTTCAACGATTCGCAGCGGCAGGCGACGAAGGATGCGGGGATGATTGCCGGCATCAACGTGCTCAGGATCATCAACGAACCGACGGCCGCGGCTCTAGCGTACGGCCTGGACAAGAATCTGAAAGGTGAGAGAAACGTGCTCATCTTTGATTTGGGTGGTGGCACTTTCGACGTATCCGTACTCACCATAGACGAGGGTTCGCTGTTCGAGGTGAAAGCGACTGCCGGTGACACCCATCTAGGAGGCGAAGATTTCGATAATCGCCTGGTGGATCATTTCGCCGAAGAGTTTAAGAGGAAGTATAAAAAGGATATGCGAGGTAACGCGCGTTCCCTGCGTCGCTTAAGGACTGCGGCGGAAAGGGCCAAGAGGATCTTGTCCTCGAGCACCGAGGCGACGTTAGAAATTGACGCCCTCTTCGACGGCATCGATTTCTACACGAAAATATCGCGCGCGCGCTTCGAGGAGATCAACGCGGATCTGTTTCGCGGCACTTTGGAGCCGGTGGAGAAGGCGCTCGGCGACGCCCGCATCGACAAGGCGCGCATACACGACGTCGTCCTCGTCGGCGGATCCACGCGCATTCCCAAGATCCAATCGCTCCTGCAGAATTACTTTGCCGGCAAGTCGCTGAATCTGTCGATCAATCCTGACGAAGCGGTGGCTTACGGAGCCGCCGTCCAAGCAGCCATCCTAAGCGGAGACCGCAGCTCAAAAATCCAAGACGTCCTCCTCGTCGACGTCACGCCGCTCTCGCTCGGCATCGAGACGGCAGGAGGCGTAATGTCAAAGATCGTCGAGCGAAATGCGCGCATCCCCTGCAAGCAGATGCAAGTGTTTACGACTTACTCGGACAACCAATCGGCCGTTACCATCCAAGTGTTCGAAGGGGAACGCACGATGACCAAAGACAACAATCTGCTGGGCACGTTCGATCTGACCGGGATTCCACCGGCGCCGCGCGGCCAGCCGCAGATCGAGGTCACCTTCGATCTCGATGCGAACGGCATCCTCAACGTGTCCGCCAAGGAGACCGGCACCGGCAGATCGAAGAACATCACCATCAAAAACGACAAGGGTCGTCTCTCGCAGAAGGAGATCGAACGGATGCTGGCGGAGGCGGAAAAGTATAGGGAGCAGGACGAGAGACAGCGCGATCGCATCGCCAGCAAGAACACCCTCGAATCGTACGTGTTCGGGGTGAAGCAGGCGTTGGAGGAGGGCGCCTCGACGAACTCGTCGTCGGTCTCGTCGGACGAAAAGGCCAAGGTGCGCGGGTCGTGCGAGGAATGCATCAAATGGTTGGACAGTAACCAGGAAGCGGACAAGGACGAGTACGAGTACAAGTATCAGGAGATGCGGAAGATATGCACGCCGACGATGTCGAAGCTGCATCAGGAGGGCGGCAAGAAGGACGGACCAACCATCGAGGAGGTCGATTAACCTGCAACATCAAAATTAGAATCAATTTAGAAAGAAAAGCAGCAAATTCAATCCACGCACCGCAGGCGACGACGACGTTAAGCAGACCTTTCCTCTTCATCTCGAGGGGGGCCGTCTGCTTTTCTTCTTTCAATTTCTCCCTGTTGTTTCCCTTCGTTCGGATGATAATAAACAGTCGCCCGACGACCACCCTTCACATTCTCTCTCTCTCCCTCTTTACCCTGTAATTAGAGCTTTCAACGAAGATAGTTTTAAATATTAAATTATGTAGCGTGTTACATTTGAACGCAATAAAATGCACATACACAAAATGCAGCAGCCATTGTTTCATTCCGATCGATATTTCAGCAGATCGATACGTGCATAGCATTTTATACGAATTACCCACTTACTTTGTAATATATTAGATTGTATTTTCTTCTTGTTCAATCGTCATTTGTGTTCCTCCAAATTCTTCTGCAAAAGAAAACAATTTGATTAGATTCTTATTCATTTACTTATACTTATAAATAGTAAAACTCGCCTGGAAATTTCCAAATGTAATAACACTGGCTACATTGATTCATGATAGAAAAGTCTGCGAGTGAAATTCGATCTCGCAACAAAAAACAAAAGTATAAGACAACCTTTCGGTCGCCTCCTACTAACAAGCAGGAAACACTTTGGTTCTGCCCCGAAACCGAAAAGACCGCCCATCCATCAACATTCGAGGCGCCTATTATCATTCTGCTTCGTTTTTTTTTTCTGTTGTTGTTTTTGACGAAAAGCAGTTACGCAAACGGTTTATTTGTTCATCTTTTTCGTAAAAGCAATTTAATATTTCTTCTTGAATTAAACTAGATTTCGATATGCGAACGTTCAATTATTATGTAAGCAAATTGTACGTGCGGTTGACTTGGTTGCATAACCCTATACGACAATTTTAATTTGAGGCGAAATTTAAATTCGAAAGGAGCGCAGGTAAACTTTTTTCTTTTGTTTGTACCAAAATGATGGATGGATGAAAAAAACTACCCCACCTACTTCGGACAACCTCTCGGCCGAAATTGAGAAGAAAAAAAAACACGCGTTTCTTTTTCAAGGGTGATGAAAGATAGTGTGAGTTAGAGAAAGAGAGAAATGGTAGGAAGGGCAATGCGCTTTTGTGCGAGAGCTACCTACACGAAAGACGGAGAAAGGGAGAGACTACGATGACCTAGGAGTGGAGCGAAGAGAGAGAGAGAGAGAGAAAGCGAGAGGGTGTAAGAAGTAGACGAAGAGAGAGAGAGAAAGAGAGAGAGTGCAAGGCTGGTTCTGTGCGAGTGGAGGAGTGCATGCAGCGGCGGCAGGCAGTCAGTTAGCGAACGAACGGTGTGGAGAGGAGCGTCACAGCGCGAGTTGCGGTAACACAGTAGAAACGCGTTCGCTCTTACGACGACGGCGGCAAACGCGAAAGACAAATGAGAACACGCGAAAACAAGTGAATTCGAGATAAAAGAACAGTGTGTGTGTGCGTGTGTGTATGTGCCATCAACGAAGGAAGATGCCTTGAAGGAAGTTGCAAATATTATATCTAAAGAAATATACTGCAACTAATCAACTACTCTCTCTCTCTCATTACAAACGCTGCTACCAGCAGAAGAAGTAATAGTTGAGTTGTTGCGACGATCGGAGATGGAGTCTATCGCCAACAACAATTTGGTATCCAATCTACCGGAGGTAAAATAAAATCGAGCAATTTAAAAATAATCATCGCGTTCGCAATAGTTTTGCTACTTGTTCCTCTCGAACGCGAGATGAACAAGTGAAACGAGAAGTAGAAGTAGAAGAAGTGAAAAATAAAAAACAACGACGATGCAGACAGAGAGGAGATGAACAACAAGCAAGAAGCGAAACTACCTGTTTTCTTGCCGTTTTCTTCTTCTCCTCTCTCGTTCTCTTCTACCTCGAACGAACGAGACCCGTTCGCCGTTCCTCTCCTTCTTCTTTCTTCATCACTCCTCTCTTGCCTCAACCGACGGTTATGGGAGTGTGTGTGTGTTCGAGTGCGTCGAGTTGTTTGATTCTGTTTGAAGCAAGGTTGAACAACTGAGAACCGAGGAACGTCGTCGTCGCTCGTTCTCTTCTGTTGCCTCAGCTCTTTCCTCAGCGTGTTGTTTTCTGTACAGCAACGGCCAAAAGACATTCTTTTCACCCAAATCTTAAAGAAAATAATAATAACAATATCAAATCTCAAAAAAAAAAACAGTTTTCAAGCTTCAAATTCGTAAAAAAAAACATTTTTTTTTCAGCTCATATTTTACGATCGCAATTGATTCTTGTAATTAAGCAATGAAATACGAATAGTAAATAAAAGAAGATAGTAATTAAGTCAAATCATAGAAGAAAAAAATCGCTGTCGACACGAAACTTTCTAGTATTAGTACTACAGAATCACCTTAAAACACGTTCCGCCGAGTGAAAACGAAATTCGTAATTATTTGAAACTTTACAAAACGCACGAAGAATATTTAAGTTTAACCGTAAAAATCAATTTTGAATTACCAAAACAAAAAAGAAAGAAAGATAATTTGTTACGCTACTAAAACCGAACAACCAAAGTAAACAGATGAAAAAGCAGAAACGCGATCAAATTCAAATTAATTTGGCAAAATCAATGAGGCGTGAATCGAAGCCCAAAACAAGTGATTAATACAGACCATTTATACAAATATGCGCGTGTTGCGGGCGGTAAGAAACAATTGAAAGCGACCGTCGCGCGCGCGCTCGCCGTTTAATTTTTTAAAAGTCTCATTAAATGTCTCGGCCAGAAACGAATGTAAATAAAAGCAAGGACGAAACAATTGCGAATCGACGAAGGGGGAAAATATCGGATTGGAAGTGAAGGAAATAATGTATTCTCATTCTTTCACTTCATCTCCAACTTCTTCTACCTGTCGCTATTTTTATGGAGAGCCGACAGATTTCTTACGCATTTTGTATTATCACGCGTAATCCTCTCACCTGACACTTTTTTTTTGTCCTTTCGGCGTCGATTCTCCGAAGGAAAACATTCCCGTTTTCTTCCTCCTTGGTCACGTTTTTCTACCTGCAATTACCAACAATTAATACAAAAAAAAAGCTAAGTATGCGTAATAAATGTTAAAATACCTGAAGCTTGTGCAGGTTCCTTTACATTTTTTTGACCAGTCAAATTTCTTTTCATCGCTTGCAAATTTGACGTTTGCTGGAATGCATACGAATTCTGAAACAATCATAAACCAAAATTGATTTTTTTAATTGAAATTAATAATAATTTTGCGTTTGATGAGAACGAAACAAATAATTAAGTCAAATTGTTGCGAAAAATACAAACAAACGTCAACACTCCAATGAGATATTTTGTTTTTTTTTAGACAATGCAGAGAGTTGTCATTGGAAATTTGACGTTTGTATTTTGAACGAATGTCAAAATTGCAATGAGTTAAATTATAAAAAATGACTTTAGTTGTCAATGGAAATTTGACGTTTGTTTGTATTTTTTTGCAACAAACGTCAACATTCCAATGAGATATTTTGTATTTTTAGACAATACAGAGTTGTCATTGGAAATTTGACGTTTGTATTTTTTACTAATGTCAAATTTGCTATGAGTTGAATGATGCAAAGTAAATAGTTGTCAATGAAAATTTGACGTTAGTTTGTATTTTTTTTGAAACAAAGGTCAACATTCCAATGAGATATTTTGTATTTTGAAGTCATTTTTTATAATTTAACTCATTGCAATTTTGACATTCGTTCAAAATACAAACGTCAAATTTCCAATGACAACTCTCTGCATTGTCTCAAAAAACAAAATATCTCATTGGAAGTTGTTTGACAAATTTATTATTAATTTCAATTAAAAAAATCAATTTTGGTTTATGATTGTTTCAGAATTCGTATGCATTCCAGCAAACGTCAAATTTTCAATGACATTTTTCGAGCGATGAAAAGAAATTTGACTGGTCAAAAAAAATGTAAAGGAACCTGCACAAGCTTCAGGTATTTTAACATTTATTACGCATACTTAGCTTTTATTGTTTTTTTTTGTATTAATTGTTGGTAATTGCAGGTAGAAAAACGTGACCAAGGAGGAAGAAAACGGGAATGTTTTCCTTCGGGAATCGACGCCGAAGGACAAAAAAAAAGTGTCAGGTGAGAGGATTACGCGTGATAATACAAAATGCGTAAGAAATCTGTCGGCTCTCCATAAAAATAGCGACAGGTAGAAGAAGTTGGAGATGAAGTGAAAGAATGAGAATACATTATTTCCTTCACTTCCAATCCGATATTTTCCCCCTTCGTCGATTCGCAATTGTTTCGTCCTTGCTTTTATTTACATTCGTTTCTGGCCGAGACATTTAATGAGACTTTTAAAAAATTAAACGGCGAGCGCGCGCGCGACGGTCGCTTTCAATTGTTTCTTACCGCCCGCAACACGCGCATATTTGTATAAATGGTCTGTATTAATCACTTGTTTTGGGCTTCGATTCACGCCTCATTGATTTTGCCAAATTAATTTGAATTTGATCGCGTTTCTGCTTTTTCATCTGTTTACTTTGGTTGTTCGGTTTTAGTAGCGTAACAAATTATCTTTCTTTCTTTTTGTTTTTTGGTAATTCAAAATTGATTTTTACGGTTAAACTTAAATATTCTTCGTGCGTTTTGTAAAGTTTCAAATAATTACAATTTCGTTTTCACTCGGCGGAACGTGTTTTAAGGTAATTCTGTAGTACTAATACTAGAAAGTTTCGTGTCGACAGCGATTTTTTTCTTCTATGATTTGACTTAATTACTATCTTCTTTTATTTACTATTCGTATTTCATTGCTTAATTACAAGAATCAATTGCGATCGTAAAATATGAGCTGAAAAAAAAATGTTTTTTTTTACGAATTTGAAGCTTGAAAACTGTTTTTTTTTTTGAGATTTGATATTGTTATTATTATTTTCTTTAAGATTTGGGTGAAAAGAATGTCTTTTGGCCGTTGCTGTACAGAAAACAACACGCTGAGGAAAGAGCTGAGGCAACAGAAGAGAACGAGCGACGACGACGTTCCTCGGTTCTCAGTTGTTCAACCTTGCTTCAAACAGAATCAAACAACTCGACGCACTCGAACACACACACACTCCCATAACCGTCG